GACGGAAAGTCGTTCCCGAGTTTTCAGCGTTTCATTTTTCTCGTTCTGTATCCCTAGGCTCCTTTTTCCTCTATTCCTTTTTGACTTCGTTTTATCCAATCTTTTTCTTCTTCCTTATTCATGTTTTATTGTGATGTAACGTACGTACCTGTGTTACTTACTTTTTTATATTAATCGATTTTATATTAAGTATCTTAGGAGATCGATTATTTATTAACAAAAATTTGGTAACATTGAAATTAGAGACATTTTTTAATTAAACTGAGATTTCTCTCTCTCTCTCTCTCTCTCTCTCTCTCTCTCTCTCTTTCTCTCTCTCCCTTTCCGGATATAATTAAATTTTATTTTTACCAATATTTAACACATTAAAGCTTACTCAACATTGAAGAGTAAAACGATATCTTTGCATTTTATTAAAAACGTGACTTTCAATTTTTCAAGACATAAAACGTTTGAACTTTGATGTAAAATTTATAAATTATTTATTATTATTTTAATTATCTTGTTATTTAATCATCTTTTTATTCTACAATTTTATATGTTTATTATAAGCTACAATTTATTTTTATGACTATTATTTTTCTAGTATTATTGTTGAATTTCCCTCCTTTCATCTATTTTCCTTTTTTCTCTTCTTTTTGTATTCCTTTTCTTTTTCAATCGTTTTCTCTCAGTCTCATTTTTCCGATTGTCTCGTAAAAGCGGCTTTGCCTATCGTAACGAGACGTTTGAGGCGAATTTTGTCGCGATTCGACGGCGGTACCGGTAATGCAAAACATAAGTGAAAGAGCTCAGCTATACACCGACAGGTACGGTGCTAAATTCATCGGGACGCATAAATGCGAATGGAGGATGGGATGTATTGTAGGGTTCTCCCATTTATCGTTTTGTGAAATTGTTGTAGCAGCTGAATTATTTCCAGACGAACATTGACTTGTAAAATATTTTATCATAGAAAATATCACAGATCTTACATCCGTAAATTTTAAACTAATTATTACCCATAACTAAAAATATATGTATATCTGTCATATTTTGTAAAATTAATTACAATTTATTCAATGTATCTGAAGTGAATTTTCTTTCAAAAGAAAGAAGAGGAATTTGAAAGATTGATGGAAGTTATGTTGTATTTATGATAAAAACACAGTACATTTCAAATTAAATGAAAAATAAGATCGAGCATTGCGATATCGCTTCATCGATGACGTCGTTCGCCTCGGGAAAAGCCACGAAAAGAAAGGCTCCGTTTAATTTAACTCAATTTATTCTTTCGTTTGCCCGCCTCTGAATGGCCATCCTTTTTCCATTCACCCTTCGTTAAGCGACCGATAAGTAAAAATTCCCAATTGGCCGAATGCTGCTTTCTATAGTCCGCACGTTCCGGTCCTTATTTATCCCTTTCAACGTCACACATTACTGCTCGATATTAGGAACACAGTAAAGCATCTCAGCACCTCCCTGATGGGCCCTTCCCATCGTGTTCATAATTATTGCTTTGCGGATGCTCCTTCACGAATCTACTTCAAACATCCGCAATCTGGAAGCTGGCAGCGTCTATAAAGTTTCTCCAGATCTGTTTTGGATCGTTTTAGATTTGTTTCAAAACCCCTTGATGCATTTGTATTGCGAGAATATATTGTATATGTCATATGGTATGGAGAATATTTACTTCGCAAATAATATACATATTTAAAGAAACAAATAAATTAATGTATACATTATATATTGTAATACAGATTTCTTAAAAATAAACAAAAATGAAGAAAATTTACATTCTTTAAATTATGGAAATATGTTTCGAAAAGATTTTTAATTTTAAATCACGAAAAAGAGGTAAAATTATTTCATTTTATAACTAATAAGTGTAACACATTTTGATTCCTCAAGATTTATTTATTTAGTAGATACTAATATATGATATGTTCAATCTTTATAAAAATATTATATACTCTATTTTAATTAGATATTATAAAAGATATATTTTAAAACTCACTAAGAAAAGATTTCTGAACAAAACTGTGACAGAATTTTGAATCATTCATTAAATATTAGATATTTATATTTTATAATTGCTCTAAAATTACTTTTTCACTCGTATAATTGATACATCAGCAGCATTTGTAAATTATGACTTTACACATCAATTTTTCACACAATTAGAAAAAATCTATTTTTAATATTTCCTTTTTCTTCTAATGGACATACAGAAATGAGATATAATAAGCATAATAATTTCGGAAACGTTTTAATTATTTATTTGTTTTAAATATGAAAGATAAGAATAAATTATTGCTTTCAAATAAGTTATTAATTTTATCTTAAAAAAATACGGAAAAAAAATTTTTTAACTCATTATAGTTCTTCTAAAATTTTCAAAATTTGCAAAAACAATAATTAATTTATATTAAGACTTTCAAATTTTAAACAATACAAAAAGATAAATATAATAGGCTAATGAGAGTCAGAAATGATAAACGGCGCAATTATTTAGTAAACAATCAATACTCAGATATTGGATTGATGTCTTCTTTATTTTGAACGTTTCGATTCACTTTGCAGTTCTCCTCAGCAATAATGATACAAGTAACAACGCTGCATCTTTGTCAATTTGCGAGTGACTTAGGCATTATGGACATGTGAGCTAACTATATTTAGTTACTATACTATACTTGTATCATTATTGTTGAGGAGGACTCCAAAGTGAGTCGAAACGTTCAAAATAAAGAAGACATCAATCCAATATCTGAGTATTGATTGTTCACTAAATAATTGCGCCGTTTATCGTTGCTGACTCTTAGCCTATTATATTTATCTTTTTGTATTGTTTCAAAATTTGTATTCGTAAAATTAGAGCAAGGATCGCATATAAGTATGAATTTTTAAACGGAAGAACTTGAAAAGAGTTAAACGGAATCTAATGGATTAAAATAAATTCTCGCGACAATTCGTCGAGATCACGATGCAAATTGGGCAATTTATGATAGAACGGAAGAATGCTAGTAGTTAAGGCTATGCGTATCGGGTGCAGGTGTCACGGCGCTTGCCTGTTTGCGAGAAATGGATCCGCAAAGAATATCCAGGCGCGCGCTAGTTTTCCTCTAGGAAATCTTATTTACTCGCTGAGAACGCGAAGCGAGGTCGGCTGAAATTGAGTGACGTCAGTAATCAAATGCCATTCACCCGTTATGAAGACGTTTCGCCTCGGTGGAAATTATCATGCGAATACGCGACTGGAGGAAGCGATAAAACCTTGATAGTTTGCGAAATTTCTTGTCTACGTCAAACTATAATATCTACCTATCTTTCTTCACGGTCCGCCCAGCACTGCCCTTCTTTTCTCTTTCCGTCGTCGCTCGTCTCTTACGGTATCTGCAGTCTTTATTAAAATCGTAATCTTTTATTTTTTTTCCTTTCGCAGACATCCGCTTGTACGTTTGAACGGTCTATTTAGCTTTTTACTAGAATGTAGTTATTCGAGACAAAAGATAAATTATATTTGACTTTATGCATCGACAAGAGCTACTAAATATTCATGCTAACTTTTGTACAATTTTATTTTCTTTGTTCGTCTTTTTATCTTATTGCAAGTTGTTAGAACTTTTCTCTTTTTAATCAGTCAGTTAAAACTTATTAGTGTCTGACTACATATATGTATATTATGCATAGAAAGATATATTTGTACATGGAAAGAATGATTTTCCTAAAGTATCTAAAAATTTAACTTATAGATACAAAATTAGATATATCTGAAAGTAATTTTGTTAATAATTACGTAGGAAATTCAAGCATTATGAGCAATGCTGCATAAAGTTTTAATAATTTGATGACTAATTTGAATGTCTTACAAAATTTATCTTCAGATCTGTAATTAGCTAAATTTTAAATACATATTTTAATAAGATCCTTATTTCTGTGCGTACATATATATTTACATATATGTGTGTGTGTGTGTGTGTGTGTGTGTGTGTGTGTGTGTGTGTGTGTGTGTGTGTGTGTGTGTGTGTGTGTGTATAATAACTAATTATGAGTATAATGAAATTAATAAACAATTAATACTATATCCGAAATAATACCGATTTACCGGTTTATTAATTAGCTAATAATCGAACATGTAAGTATTAACCTGTGCTCTGATGTATTTCCATTAAAATCATTTTATTTCTGTTTCTGATATAAATTTCACTTGAAATGAGCTAAAAACTTATTTAGATCATTTAGCTTAATCTACGAAACCTTTTAGCTTCTAATATTAAATATTATCGTAATTAAAGCTCTTTAAAAATCTGCACTGTAAAAAGATCGATTCATTTCATACATAAAAATTTATATCTGGATACATTACAATATATTACGCATGTATATATTTTTATTATGAATATTATATGAAAGATGTACGATTTTATTTATACGCGCGGATAGTAAAGTGGAATAAGCGATAATATGCGTGTTTTAACGGAACTGCGAGTGGTTTGCTTTAACCGGAGCACGCATTGGCATTCAGAAAAAGTAATATCTCACTAAAGTGGAAGGTCGTAAGGCCAATATCGCAGTATGTCGTGCCGTGCAAGTGTGCGTTTCAAAAGCGGATTAGTTCCGGTATTGTATTTACAGGTGGTCGTGCACAGTCGGGCGGCTTAGTTGCAAAATTGCCCGTACATAGCGCGATATATATCTCATGGTTCTCATATTCATCGGGTTCGACGGCGCTCGAAATCTACAACGCGCACGTTCGCGTGACACGATAGATATCTACTCTTATTGGGATCCTAATATCGCCGGGATCAACCAGAAATCCGTTAAGGGATTTTGCTAAATTAATCTTGTTTTTCTAAAATTATTTCGATCCACACTGACAGTCTATTAATATTTCGAGGAGAGATATCTTGTAACTGATGCAAATTGATCGAAATCTCTCTCTCTCTCTCTCTCTCTCTCTCTCTCTCTCTGAGATTTGAGTATATAATGTACAAGTAGGGCAATGAAAATTTGACGCTTACCAAAAATATCATTTGGATAGATCAGGAGCGCCAATAACATCATTAGAAGTGTCTTTTGCCAATCCACCATTTTGTCACAATCATGGATCCAGCTGGAACATAAAATATTACGTGTAATAGATGTCTTGAAATGAATAACTTTTCAATACAGTATTTAATTTTATTTTTATGTATTTTAATTGACATATGTTTTTTTTTTAAATATAATAATCTTTACAATTATTTTTTAAATTATGTTTTATAGGATTACCAGCTTTGATAAGAGATATCACAGTTTGCTCGCATTATTACATTATTAATTAATAAAATACTGAATACATTGCATAATGCATGGACAAAAATGATATTTAACGAGAATCGCGAGTAATTAAACACGTCATGTCAGTTAATTATAGATACAATTTATCCCGCGTATCCTTTTGATGGTTTGTGTATAAATTATTGACGAATATTATTAAATAAATCTATCGTATCTTTATATTCAATGGATTGGAAATCAAACGCACTACAAAGGAAGACGAAAAGTTATAGAATAATAATAAATACAATCACAATTGTATTTATACGGAAATACCTGTCGTTTATCATCGATCAATTTTATTCAAATCGTATATATTAAGAATTGTGGATAAAACGATTTGATATGCAAATAATCGACAAATTCTGACCATTAATCCCCTCGAATTATATACCAGAGGTCCCTTACTTTATTGGCTTGGACGCGGCTGGGGCGAAAATAAAAATAATAAAGTAGACGTGAAGCGTGGGAGAATATATTACTAGCGGGAACATTAAAGTCGTGTCAGCGTCTGTGATGATATTCCACGGGGATATTCCTTATCCTTTCATCTAGACTTTGCGTACAGATCAAAACGCGTACCCACCGCCGCCGCGGCGTTCCTCTGGTTATATTGGGGATGGTAGCCCGTTTGTTTACGAGATATTACATCAAGGATCAAGAAAGAAATACACAAAACTACTATAAAATAAAAGATCATCCAGTACATCGCAACATACACAAAAAATGAGTTAATCTTTAGCAATAATAAAATCTATTATTTTGTCTTTTAATAGATATGCGATAGAAATTTATTGATGTATAAAAATTCTTTTCCATAGCATATATAAAAAAAGCCTCTTCTTTTATTAATTTTTATTTACATTAATTTCACTTAATATTATTACAGTAAATAAACGAAATAAAATCTTTATATAATAATTTAGAATAATTTTAGTAGCATGCAATTGCGTGGAATTAGTAGCGAAATTAATCTTGTAGTAAAGCAAAAAGTTAAAAGACTAAAAATTGTATATGTGTTTATAAAAATTTATCATGGCAATAACATCGCCTTTGGCGACCTGGTTGGCGCGTTGCAAGCGTTAAACGCCAATCAGGCAAGTTTCCCTTGTGCAGCAGCACACTGATAACTCCATTACGAGGCGCAACGCAGCTACCTGACTTGTTAGACACTTCGAATCATAATATTAAATTGATGTGTCACTCATATCGACCTTCCAGTAGTTACATAATAACGACGATAATGCTCATCCATCTCCTTTCATTTTCAGGACGAAATGAATAATGTACTGAGGCAATATAAATCAAATATTTCACCTAGAAACGCATATACAATAAGTACAAAAAGTATTCGTAGAGAGAAAATATTTTTTTAAAAAATTTTATTTTTAAAAAGTAAATATTACCTAGCGAAAAATGAGATTAACATTTCTTGTTGGATGATTAACAATTTATTCGTAAAGAATAAAATAGACTGTATGTTTCTTAAAATTATATATACCAAAACGATGTGTATTAATTACAAAATATATCATCTGAAAAATAAGCGAAAATTAAAAATTGTATTGTTTGAATGCTCAAAAATTATTCGTACTGACGAGAAATTTAGCTTCTTAAATCAGGAAATACATGCGAAGCTTGTTTGTTTAACTAGAACAGAATGTATTCACTGTATAAAATTGTTAATTAATGTTTACTTTCTACAGATAAAGCTTTTTTTAATAATAAATTTCCTTGTACAAATGCTTTTTGCTCTCACTGTATAAAATAATACGTAGATGAAAATTATGGCGGTTTTTTTTAATACTTTAACATGTAATATTTATTGTATTATTATATTAGTCCTAAATAAATATATACTTAGTAATTATAATTTAGGTTGATTCCGTTTCGTAATTTAAATAATCTGTGCTCTTGACTAACGATATAAGCAGTACGCTGAAATCCCTGTAATATTTAATACACCCTCTTCTGCTTGCCAATGCAAGGCTTAAAGCATATTATACGCAGACGCTTGATTGTCCCTCCGAGAGGCAAAGATTCTAACATGAAGCTGAGTATCCATGCTGTTGCGCTCGAAAGAGGAGTCGTCGCGCGAAAGTTTGCCCACGACAACTTCACGACGGAAAACGGTGGAAGTTAGGTACATTTATCGTTCCCCCCGGTCGGATGCACGCAATAGGAGCGAACTGTATCCATCATGTGGGCGCGTGCCCACGCGACAAGAAGCGGAATCAAGTTCGAGACTCGACAAGCTTTTCCGCTCGAGTGCAATGAGCAATAGTGGCGTGGCCTTGCCCAACAAGTTTCGAATGTGATGAGCGAAAAGGCGAGACGATAAAACTTGACACCGACGTGATACAAACTTGGTGAAATAGCTGTCTATCTTTCTTGTTCTCTCTCTCTCTCTCTCTCTCTCTCTCTCTCTCTGTTTTCTTCTTCTATTTTAATTCTAATTCTAATTCTTAAGATTTCGTTAAAATGATGCCAAGCATCAAATTATTAAATTGCTTGTCAATTTAATTCGTGATATTACTATAATAGTTCAGTTTCTAAGTCGGATAAACCAATTCAGCGCAATTCAAAGAGACTACAAATGCGGTATAAATTTACACGAAATTATTTAAAGCATTAAGATCCAGCTCCGACCATTACAAGCGTTATTTCTTACTTATTGTTTAATTCTTAATCCTATTATTTTTATATCTGCTCTTATTCATCGCTTTTATTTTTCGCTTTTTTTTTGTTATTACAGTTTATTTTTTGTATTACTATTATTTTTATAAATTTTATATATTATTGTATCTTTTTTCTTTTTTTGTATATATTTTTTTATTTCACATTCTTTTTTTTGCTTATTTTTTTGTTTTTAGAAAGCTTGCTCTAGAGCTGTAATAAACGCTTTTATTTATTTTCTCACTTTCTCTTTTTCGCGTGAAATTTGCAATTCTCACGAACATGTTATGAATATACGCAAGTGCTCAGTGCTTTCGCGAATAATCATAATTCCCAGCATGTTTTAATAAAATGTCTTAAATGTAAAATTTATATCATGCATAATACTTTCTCAGAAAAATTGTAATAAACATATAAGCGTTAAAGTAGCTGCATTGAGCATTTTTACAGAATAATAATTTATATTGAAATATATCATCGGTGTCATTCTTACAGACGATAGAAACAACCACGACTCACCCTATTTTCTACCGCACGATTACAGTACGCTCGTTCGTAAAGCAAGAAGCTGCACCATGCTCATATACCACGGACGACGTGACTTTATTCAAAGCGGATTCCGTCGTTTACTCGATACACAGGCCGTAGTAATATCGAGTTTGGATTTCGACTAACAAGAGACCGGCACGAAAAGGCGGCTGGCGAACGACGAGCCCCGCGTAAACAATGCCATCGAGTAATTAGACGTGTACAAGACAATTCTTCTCCGACGAATGGAGAGTCGCGCGTCATGGTAGACGAGCCGTATTGTTTTACACGGGTTTAGGACGACAATTCGAAACCAAGAACGAAGACGCGCTCCCCTTTGTCTTACGTTGCGCCTTTGTGCATTCTGTGCAAATTTTCAGTTGAAACTCTTTTGTCAGCTCTGTACTCGCCCATTTTCGTTCAGCTCCGTTGGTTTCATGGCAGTAAAATACTTGTATTATTATTTAAAGTCTAAACGTGAGAAACGACCCGAATAAAAGTTGTGTATTGTCAGAAACGATATTTTCATCTTCGAACGCTTCTTACACATCGCTTTTATAAATCCCTTAAATCAATTCATGATATCAATTTAATGATAGAGAAACAAAAAGTAGAGATAATAAAAAGTATTGATAAAACTATAAACTATCTGTCTCAGTGTGTAAAGTTACATGTCCTTATTAAAATATAAAATTAAGAAATTTATTAAAAAATAGAAACGTTAAGCTTTTAGAGGATTGTTAAACAATAATAAATAACGAGAATTTCACATGCATTGAGAATAACAGATCGCGTAACAAACGGCGACGATACATTCGACCTATCGCAAATTATTGGGGATCTCTGAAGTATTAGAGTAACCTCGCAGTGGTTACAGTCCGTGATTAGTCAGACGCGCGGAGCTAAGCCCAAGTCGTGTACACCTGAGTTCGGTAATTTATAGCCAAGCCATTGTAACATTTCAGTACGTGATACTTTCAAGCTACGCGATTATTACCACATTCGTAATTGAATACGATTGAAAAAAGAGATTAACGCCGCACAATTTAAAAAATTATTACATATTCGAATCATACATCGCATATGTTCGTTAGTGCATAGAACGGATTTAAAGCAACGTTTTAATAACGTCATAGCAATTAGAATATTCCTAATAATTTTGTATATTCGTATTTATATCCTTATACGTCAAATACTTATTTAAATTATATTTGCTAATTTTAGAAACAAATGGAAGCCACAGGAAATTGCATAAGATTATTATATACTATGAATATTTTATGATATAACTACTTTAAATTTAATCTAAAATTCTCCGGTTTCCGCAAAGTTTCCTTTCTAATGAGTTCATTTAAACGCATAAAATTCAAATCTTCCTAATGGCAAAACTTTTAGATGCACATAGCTGGAAATTAAACCATACTGCAGTCATGTGATAAATGTGTCCATAATCCGAATGCATCTCCGTTGCAATTCGAAGTAAAGAACATCTTGGCGTGATGAATTCTGTAGCTCTGTCTGATCATATTTTCAACAAGTTATACACTGTGTCTAAGACTAGTTGATGTCAACAATGTAAAATGATCTTGCGTGAAATTCTTGTTTTTTGCAACGCAGAAATTGAATTATTTCTGATAAGTACCGACTGCAAGAATCACGATAGAAAAAAAATTACTGGTGCGTTTCGCGTCGCCTTAATGAGATCTATGTAAGTAAAACAACATCGTACAAGGCATAAGCGTGTACGAATAAATGGTTTTTACAACTCGAGCATGGCGGTTGTAACTCTTGCGGCTTCCCTGCGTTGACGGAGCGGCGGCGTGGCGACGCACTTGCACAAGAAACTAATCTGCATTCGAAATTTCATTCTTGTCGAATGTGAAATGTAATTTCCGACGTGCTGACGTCGTCGTCGTACTACTCACGTTGGGTGTACGTTAATTTAAGAAATCCGGTTCCATCATTACGGAGGGTTGTCTTGGTACTATTTTGCTTTGTTTCGCGTGAAATGTCCATTTACGCGTCCACTCGTAAATACAATTGTCTCTAGAGGAGCCAAAATGGGATCAGATTCGAGCGATTAACTTCTCGTCGTTGACTCTGTTTCAGGATGTTTTTTTCCTGGAGAGAGTAAAAGCGGCGTTTTTTCTTTTTTACTTTTGATTTTTTGCGGTTAGTGTGGTTGCTGATGGTAACTACAGGAAAACGTCAATTCCAGTGAGATGTTTAGTATTAGTAACCTCTGAGTGATCACTGAAACGTACTAAAGCGTATTTATATGTACAGGTTGAGAGTTATTTATCTTGATAGTCTTTGGGGGGTTTCCGATGTTCCATAATTTCAGTGTATTAAATTAAATTGAGAAATGAAAGGAAAAAAATAGCACCCGATACGTGACGTATCATTTTATCGCGAAAATAAAGGTGGTTGAAAATTTTAATTTAAATTGAAAGCATAAAATGGATCAATTTACATAAAATTCATTTTCTTCTTGAAGCTGAAATGTTCCGCTTTTATTTCGATGATTATTTAGATTGATTTAATTATAGGTCGTGGAAAATATATAAATATTTGTAAAATTATAGCAGTAAAAGGTATTAAACAAATTAATAAGAATAGCAGTATAAAGGTATAATAAAAAAGAGCTCGAGTATTATATTTAAATACTATCTATACATGTAATTCGAAGAATAAACACAAAATAATCTGTCAAAGGATTAATTCGAGTTTTGTGAAGCTCTGGTCGCACTTCGGTGTGCGATTAAGTAATCCGAGTGGTGGCTAATTTGATCGTCATTTCGCCGGCGTGTCGCGCTGACGAGAAAGCTCTGTGATCGCAATTTGTCCGTAAGCGCTTTCATCGTCGTAAAGAAATCGTTCCCGTTGCTGCTCGTCCGACGGAAAGTTTCTTTTTCTAATGAAGAAAGGAGCCCGCCGACCGACTGCATCCGTTTTAACGAAGTCCGCCTGGGAAAAACTCTCATTTTCTGCGCATCTCCTCTCCCTCCCCTTCTGATTCAATACGCAACGCGGAGAATTGCAATGGAGCAAGTGTTTTTTAATTCGGTTCTTTCGTAGAAAAAGAAAAAGAGGAAAATAGTCATATATATCACGAACTCTTATTCAATTTGACAGGCCGCGAATAAACAGCGATCAAACACAGCTTTGCCAAAACTTTAATTAATTAACTTGTTTGTGCGCTGGGAATCAATCTGGAAGAGCTTAAAGCTTTTGTTTTATTTAGAATCGTTATTAATTTCTTTTTGTGCGGGATACTTTTCTTGTTTAATGGAAATTTGATAATTGTCTCTTTAACAAATTTTTTTCCATTAAGTGAACATAATTTTTATAGATAAATAAATGTAGATTACATTAATATAGTTACGATAATTAACATTTAGCAGAAAATAAATGAAGAAAATAGAGTAATTAAAGGAAAAAAGTTTCTTATATATAAATATTTATGTCACCCTAAAGTTTGATTTGCATAATTATTTTTTAAATTTACTTTTTTTAAAAATATTTTTAAAAAGATGTCTGCTAATAATATAATTAATATAATTTATATAAATAAATCAATCAATTAAGTATGAGAAATGGCAATTATGATTAAAGATAGATGTTAGAATAATCTATATGTATTTAAATAATTTTTATTTTGAATATATGACTGCCTATTATTTTCAGTCTTGCAACACAATCAAACCAAAATATTCTCTTCAAATTAAATTAGATCTTCAATTTGACGCTATTAGCATCTTAAAGCTGGGTTGTTCCACCTTTCGGTAAACTTCAGCTTATTGCCTTACTCTCTTATTCTCTTACATTTTACTCTTTTACTCTTTTGTTTATCCAATAAGTAAATTACCACATAGTTTACCTAAAGAACAACCGGTCTTAAAAAATATATTGCAAAAAATATTACCTCAGCCGGGATAATCTGTATGCATATTTTTGCACATATTGTCAACATTTTAGAAAATCTTCATATTAGATAGTGTATCATATCCTATGCAATAGACATTATCCCCCTATCTTGGTAGAGGATTAAATGTTATCTTTCGTATCCCCGTCAGGTCACGAAGACGTCGCCACGTGTCCTTCCAAGACGAGACCTGGAGAAAGATGAATGAAGATTCGGGTAACGAACACGATAGGTAGGGAGCCAGCCCTCTTTCCGTTCTTATTATCAGTTACTGCTTTCAAGAGCAGGGCAAGCAGCTCGTTTCAACTCCACCACGATAAAAAGAGCAACGACTATCGCCTGTGATATTGCAAAAGGGCTAGTATCGTAGCAACAGACGCTGATAAAAGATGGGAGGAATATAATCCCCTCGCGCGTCTTCAGATTCACCGGCCTACGATGTGTCTCAATGTTTTCTGTCTACCTCTGCCTCTCTTTTCCTCGCTGAGAAACAGTTTCGAGTACTTGGCGGTACGCACGAAATGCGAAGATTCCTCGCGATCCCGAAAGATTTCCTGTTTTTATCTTTTCCCGCGTTTCCTTCAACGACCAGCAGTGCGGCTGCGATAACTCGTCGCGGATAATCGCGTTTGCTCGTAACTGAAGATTAGCTTTTCGAGCCAAGTCTGGATAGATATCACTATATTGTATAAATGGATCGAGAACCTATTATGCCAACAATCGCTTAGGCGAGAACACCAAGATAAACAAAAAGAGTTCACTGATTACTTCTTCCTCATTCATGTCAGTACAACGACATTCGAGGACGTCCAATGGTTTTTTGTTATGTTTAATGTAATATTTATTTTTTTTTTCAGAAAAAGATAATACAGATATTAACTTCTTCTTTTGTATTCTTTAGATCTTGAACTTTAAATTAGTATATTTACACAGAAAAAATTTTGCTGTAATTAAAAATATTAAAAAATTTAGGTGGATACAGATTTGAAAATAATTTTGTTAGATTATCAAATAATTATGTAAGAAACTCAAGTAATGATGAGCCGTGCTGTTAAAAATTTGACATTCTACACGGAGAGAATTATGTTTTAAAATTCACTCTGAAAATATGATAATTGTGGTATAATATATTATTTTAAAGATTTTTACCATGCACTTCAATAAAATTAATCAAATTTACTATATATTTTATTATAGTTTTATTAATGGATGAGAGAAATTTACATAAAATTCTTTGAAATACAATGTCCCAGAACTACTATATTTTCAGGGTAAACTTTAAGAAAAAATTCTCTCCGTGTCAAGCAATCAGCTTAAGTGTCCTACATAATTATTTTGATAATCTACAAAATTATTTTCAGATCTATGTATACAGATCTAGCTAAATATTTAGATATTTTAGCAAAACCTTTTCCATTTGTATATATATACTTTTAATATTTATATACATATATATTAAAAAGAAATATATGTGTATATATCTAAATACATATAATTTATTTTATGCATTTGTAACCAAGAGAGACGACGGTTTATTTCATATAAAGCGTAAAGTCACGTTGTTTACTATTTGCCATTTGATTTATTTTGAACGGAAATTGAAAAATCATTTATGATTTTTAACTGTTTGCCTAAGCGTAGAGCTTTTAAAAGAAGGAATTTAAAGAATGTATTTCTATAATAGCGTTGTATTTCCTCGAGATATATGAATACATAGATAAGAGTAAGAAGGCAGATAAATATTCTCTCGGCCAGAGCATAGAATTCCTGTATATGTTCTTGGATCAGCTGCACCATGCGATTTTACTGTGGTGAAGCGCGGTCATCTCTTTTAATGGCATCGCCGGGGTTAGTGCGTCGCGAAAGTGCAAAAAGTCATAAAGCGCAGAGCAGAAGAAACGTCAGGAAAATACGACTCGCGAGGTTCCGTCTAAATCCATACGATATCGCTTATCCTGATATTGGCAATCTTCGATATCCTGATAGCAACAGATATTACTTTGTACGACGTCTGTACGTGACCTCTTATGTTTGCCGGAACTTCCATTCTCGAATTCGCATTTATTGAAACTACGGACGATACGGAAATACGTAAAATTTCGCATACAGAGAGAAACTGGTATTTTGCAACGTGATCTGCGCATCGAGAATGCATAATTATGCGGTAAAATAATATGCAAAGTCACTCCTCGAAATATGAAGGAATTTAATTTAATTTTAAATATGTTTATATATAGTTCATGTGCGCGCGTTTTATCGGCATTCATCACTTTGCATTTAGATGCCTGAATTACAATCGTGCACTTGCATCCACGGTAAGAAAAAGGACCTTATCGATTGTACTATGCAAATGCGAATGTGCTCGACAGTGCCCTGCCATAAGGTTCTTCTCTCATTAACATGACGAATTCATGTAAGACTCTAAAGGATTCATAACTACTCCGTAACAACTATTCTCGAATTATCTTTGTTTGACAAGTTCAAAAACTGACAAAGAGCAGAACTAATAAGCAATTATAAATATCTTTACTTTAATTACTTGTAATACTTCGCTTGAAAACTATTCGCGTTTCAATATTTTAGTTACGACATTAGAAAGTAGTAAAAGTGATTATCAAGTAGTTCAGGTATTGAAATTTAAATAAAGATTCTGCCAAATGTTCTTAATGTAATGATAAATAAATTAGTAATAATATTGAGTAATAATGAATAATAAATAAACATATATATAAAAGTTGTGGTATGCAGTTTATATCAAGTTCAATACAGAAACAATGCAAAACCACTTTCTAGATTTCCAGATATAATTTCTGTTTAAACTTTGGTAATACATCCACCGTCCGAATTTGGCCGTTTAACATAAAAACCCACGCGGGTGGAAAACGCAGCTTTAATACCCGCGGAATAACAAATCCCGCTGCTGAAATAAATCGTACAAAGGGTCGTATCGCGTCCTATCCGCGGAACCGTCGCCTTGTCTTTGACGTTTCTGACTAATGATCCCTGGCCCCCTTCTCGGTCCCTTCCTCTCCCTTCTCGAAAGGTCGGAATGTTATTATATTCCAAGTATAATGATTGATTGATTAATGCGGCACAAAATTACAGAAACCGGTCAGACTTTCCGCTTAAACGGCTTGGGAAAAACTCATAATGGCTTTTCGTTTTGGTAGATTGAATGAAAACCTAAACGTAGCACATAAACTGGTTAAGATATAGCGGATTACGTTTCGCTTTTATAGATTTTTTGATAAATTGCGATGATTTTTTTTCTCAGGGGAAATTTTGGGGTTGAAATTACGACGAGGGGAAAACTGAACTCAAGAGGGATATATCGCAAAAACAAACGGAAGGAGGGGGAGGTGCTCGTAGTCCTATAATGGAGCAGGGCTTCGCTTCTCGAAGAAGTCATGTTCGATCTCGGAAAGTTTTCAGGACTTTCCGCCCTCGTCTTTCACACACACGCTCGTTCGTTTGTGGTAGACTTGTTACCTTCTTCACGCTTTCGTTCTTATAATTCAAGAAATATATCGTTGCTATCGGTACTTGCATCCTATTGCACTCTTACCTTCTCTCTTTTTTTTCTTTTTCTTGAACAATGTGCCGAAACTTTTGAGCGATAATGCTTAGATTCAAAAATAAATGATGCGAAAAAAGTACGGGAATGTATTAAATACATCGACGAATCATTGTGTAGGAGAAAGAAAAAAAATTATATTTTTATAAATAACTAGGTAATAAATTGAAATTATCTATATATAATCATATTTCTAAAAAAATTATTTTAAGTGTTATACTTAAGTCCTTCTGTGCTAATACAATAATTTTTTAATTAAGTAATATAAAAATGTATTATATCAGTATAATAAGTGCTAAGCTCATCATTGTAAATATTAACAGGTAGAGAGCGAAATAATTAAAAATTCGGATTCTGTTGACTTGGCAATGTCATTGAAATATTTCACCGAGAAAATTAGCACGTATTAAGCTTCATGTTTAAAACGGGCAGTGTTTAACCTCATTGATTTTCATTGAGGCGCGAATGACAGAAATCACTTTTGACAAGCCGTAAGTCATTACACCGATCGATCGCCTTCAAATTGTCCTATTTTTAAATTTAAGCTCACACAATGTTTCAGCGACTAACGATTCCGATCTAGTTTCTCTTAACGTCACAGAAAAGTTTATAAAAAATTAAAATTGTTTCGCAGAGCGCGAATGACCCGGGTCATAGTTTCTTTCCTTTTTCAATGTGTTAACGTTGGAGAGTACAAAACCTAATTAAATCTCGATGTTGTTTAAAGAAGGTCCTACACCGCGTATTAAAACTCGTGTGCGACGACGGGCAATAAAAAATTCACTCGCTGGAGTGGACCACAATTACAGGCAAGACAATCACAAGCGAAAGCGTTTGTAGTTTCACTAAAGCACTTGTTATTAAATTTTCAGCTTTTTATCATGAATTTTGTTTTTCTTTAGATTTGTGACTTGTATGTGCGATATTTTCGTAAAAGATTTAGAAACACTCATTTACTTTGGCAAGGATGCGTTATTAATACGTCATTAATATAGATATCACTTATAATAATTATTAATATATTTAAAATAAAAAATATATATTAATAAATTTATAATTTATAAAGATTAATAATAAATAAAGTATTATATAGATTATTTTTATGATGTAAAATATTAATTTATTTTTTTACAGAGAAGGAAGCAAATCTTTTGTTTTGACATATATAAATGGTTTCGATTATTTCTTGTACACGAAAGATAGAGTGCAGATAAAATGAATATTACAGAAAGGAGCATTAATGTCTATACTAGTTCTTCTTGTAACAAATAATCTTTGTAAATTGTCTTTTAATGTGATAACATATAATAAATATAGACGTTTCGACCTTTATATTATCATCAGTACAATTGACGTTAATTACTTACACACACACACACACACACACACACACACACACAAACTTTCATTCCCTAATTAATTATGCTTATAAAAACCTGAGATCAAATTAACAATTTTTGTCGCAGATCTATCAATTGTCCAGCGTAAAAGTGTTTTGATTTTCGTAAAAGTGTACACGTGGAATTTTTATATATTTTTTTATTCTTAATTGATAAATTTGACAGTAGATCTTCCTTTATTCTCATATTCTCATTACTACTTTTCAATTTAACTTAGGAATTGTGACTCCTGAGCAGTTAAGTAGCGCAACTGTCAATACAATGAGGCTCCAAATCAAAGCAATAACAATTCGCCTTCCACATATGTATCTACATTTTTACGAAAATCAAAGTGCTGGACAATTAATGAACTTGTAACTAAAATTGTTAATTTGATCTTAGATTTTTATACTTTATTAAGTAATGAGAGTTAAAATATATAAGTAATTAACATTAATTATATACATACTGATAATGATCTAATGTAAGGTCGTCATCACAGTATGTCTACGTTTATTAGGTTTACATTGTCATGTTGTTAAAAAACAATTTATATAAAGATTATTAGTCACCAAAAGAACTAGTGTAAGCTTTAATGCTCCTTTCTGTAATTATTAAATCTATAATAAGCCGATATTAATTGGATATTTGTTTAAAATTAATATTATTCAATTAAAACTAATTGCATTTAACGGAAGATACTTAAGGACTTTTGTTTCAAACAAAAAGTACATTCAAATGTTCACCATGATCTCCAACGCAATCGTTCCTATTTTGCAGGTAATTCGCACGCAACAGATGAGAAAAAGGATGCCACTAAAAATATTCACATTGCAATGTTTTAATTGCTCTCTGACTGTATGTTTCCTGGTGCAGAAGAACGATAACAGGAACTACGGCAACAGGAGGTTGTGTCGCCTCCGGCTGAAATAAAAGCTTTACGCTTGTGGAAGCTCGGGAACGAGCGGCGTTCGTCGTTTCGGAAAAATAAAGTAACACTTTGAACACTTACGACGTTATGGCGAATTCACAGATATCCGACAATAAGGACTTCTAAGCGGTAACATCTACAGCATATATACATAAGATGAAAATTTTTCTATGTATCTACAAATTTCCAGAGCGTTACTGCACCTTGAAAAATGTGTGATTTTTTTCTAAATTGTATATATTGTAATAAAATAACTGATGGTTTCAGTTTTAATTAACTTTTGAATTTAAAGTGGCTTTCGTTTTAATATTTCCTCTGCCATTATATTCCAGTTGAAAATGTGAAGATAATCACATCTCGTTAAAATTTAGTAATATTCCAAAATGGAATTTATATTATTTTTGTAATAAATAATTATACTTTCAAGTATATATATATAGAAAATACAGTTTGTATTTAAAATGATATAATCGATATTAATATTTGTTCGTAGAGAAGAATTCAAGTCATTTATAAGGAATTTTCAGAAAATAGGAACATTGTTTTGTACTTTTGAAATACTTTAAAAGGATATAAATTACATTTGCATTAAGAATGGACTAATGTGCTACAATAAAAATCGACTTTTTAAAAAAATAGATATAAAAATAATTACTTAATTTAAGGTTTTTCTGAGAATGAAAATAGAAATTAGATCTTATAAATAATGGAAAATATTTATAAAACTAATGACAATTATACTTAAAATATAACTCGTTTTATCGATCTATATTTTTACAATATATTTTTTTATTTGTCTTTTAAATAATTCAGGTAAAAAAGTAATGTTTACGGACAGTTTAATAGTCAGTTTAATCAGACAGTTTAATAGTTTACAAGAAATGACCTGTAAACATGACCTGATTTCACTACAAGTGCGTATTTTTACATATAAAAATTAATAAAAAAAATGTTCAGGTTTTTTTCTGAGAAAGAACGCGGAACTACCGAAAGGTGGTTGCAGAACTGGGACGAGCAGACGAGCCTGAAGACTCTTAAATTTCCGAAATCCCGTACACGCGGTGTACACACGACACGCGGTACTCTGCTGACTTTTCGAAATTGTAGGCGGGCGCTGCCGCTCTCGCCGGCGTAAAATAAATCAGAGTACAGGGTGAGAGATCTAGCCGACGATATATATTCCGGCATGTCGGGTATATTCCCTTCCTTAAGTTCTCGTTGCTCTCATACCGTCGCCGACGCGCCTCTATAGATTTGGCCCATGTCGAAGTCAGAGCGCGGAGAAGAAAAGAGAAAGAAATGGAAAGAAAGCGAAAGAGTAAGAGAAAAGGTGCTTCCGCGTCTCTCTCTATAAATCTCCGAAGAATTCCTTATCTATGGCAACGATACGCACGACTCGACGTTACCATTCCGTTCGCGAAGCAAACGCGAAAGTTAAGCGTCTTCCAATTATGTCAATGTGACCATGAGTCCGATAATTGAAGAAATTCTGGAAAAATTGTTTTAAGTTTTCTCTTTTAACCGAAATAAATTTTATATTGTTGTAAATACGGAAAAAAATAGAGGGGTATAGCAAAGCTGCCCGTATAATAGTTTATTACGTGAATTCTCTTAAAAGAATAATTATATTTTAGAATTCAATTAAAACGCTTTGTAGAAGAATAAAATTTTATAATTAATATGACAAATTAATATTTGAGAGAATTACAAAATTCTAAAATGGAAAACTTAAAGTGTCAAATAAACATGATTTACATTACTATTTTCCGTGCAACATTGTATATATAGACGGAAAAAAACAAGTAAAAACTTTACTGATTCAGTAAATCTATAATCATAATATACAGACAGTCAATTGTCTATGTTAAAGTAGCAAAATATTAATAGCTGAATAACATTATCTTCTTATAGTTATATATGTATAACTTAAAGTAATATATAACTTTTTACATAATTTATGTTATATATAATTAAGAAAACTTGGTGGTTTAACAAATCGCTAATGTAATTCAGTTGTCACTTTTGTTACTTTAACATAGAAAACTGATTGTCTATATATTACGATTATAGATTTGTTGAATCAGCAAAGTTTTTAACTGTGTTTTTATTTCCATCTGTGTACAATGTATTGCATGGAAAATAGTAATATAAATCATGTTCATTTGACACTTTAAGTTTTCGCATTTTAGCATTTGTAATCTTCTCTGATTAATATCTTAATATTCTAAATTAATATTTTTATTTAAATTGTCATGTTAATTATAAAACTTTATTCTTTTACAAAGCGTTTTAATTGAATTACAAAATATAATTATTCTTTTAAATAAAATGTTTTGTCATATCCTATATTTATCATTATATTTGTTGTAATAATTTTATACCATATATTTAAACGGGAATGGAAAATTGACAAATTACTCTTTGAGATTTTTCTGTATATAATTTTTCCGTACAACTGAACCGTTAAATTTCACTTATCATCTTTGAGCGACAGGTAGTAAGTGCGCGTTTTCAGAAACTTATAAAAACAAGTCTCGTCAAAGCCGCAGCCATGTCTGTGAAACTATCCCCGGAGAAAAATATATTACGACCATTTCTCACCATAAAATGGCGTGAATTGTGGCCCCAACAATCGTTTTGCGGTTATAGAGATTATGCAAATACAGTCTCGCCGACTATAAACTATGTGGAATTTAACAATTTTTCACCATGCGACGCACTCGATCTTGCCTGCGCCTCTGTGGCCATGCATTGTATAACAATGATGACATAAAAGGATAACGGGACCCTTTACTTTCCATTCTTAGTATATCGTCGATAAGAAATCTTAAATCTTGAGTAAGGAAATGTAGAAAGTTTTAAATAGACGAAAAATGTGGAGTGGTTATCCGCTGCGCCGTTAATTTTTGAAGCTAATAGCTTTCCGATACTTTCTATTGTATAATACTCATTGCAAATTTATTTGATATTGATTACAGTAAAATTGAGACCTTCAATATAATCGTTTTTTCTAAACTGAAATAAATTAAAAATTTGTGGTCTTTAATACTTAATTAAATTATAGAAAGAATTTCTCGACTATAATAATTAAAGTAATTAAAATAATAATTGAGAAAAAGTAAATTTAAATTTGCATTTTAAAGCGACATTTTATTACTGACTTTTTTTGTAGTATTTTTGTTACATAATGTGGATAAACACGAGAAAAACTAATAACGCATTTATTCTTTCGAATAATTAGAAAAATATGTTAATCGCGCGATTACTGTTAATACACTTGATACTACGCCACTTCACACTAAAGTGTACTTGCATTTTTTATATGTCCATTTTTTTAAGTATTTTCTCGCTAATTTTTATGTAGGAATTATACTTGCGCGTATTGTTACAGTTCATATAAACTATATGTAACATTACGCAGTATTGCAGGTGGTGAAAAATTTCTTAAAGATTTATGGTGAACGCTTTATAAAGGCTGGAAGTTATATTTTACCGACTTCGACGTAAACTGAAAATGCACGCCTTGTGCTACGTGGAGATTCTCTGAAATTACTTGCAGAGATAAATAGGGATCGTAACGTCCGACAGTAATATCTCCTTCCGCTACTTTTATAATACTCATCATCGTTCATCATTACGCCACAATAAAGATAAGAATCGAATCCCGCAAAACTCGATTATCTGTGAGGCTGTAAACGTTGCGATTGTGTTTTATTTTGTTCTGTAAGAGTCTTAAAAAACACAATAAGTATAGTATTTTTAAAGTACATGTATATTTTAGTAAAAACTAATTATACTAATTATAATCATCATATATTTATAAACTCGGTAACATATTCTATAGAGTGCGAAGTTCTTGAGTGGATGAAATTTTTACGATATTTTTTATTTGCTTCTTACACGAATTAGCAAAACAATCGTTTATCAAAAATCATATAATGGGAGATTAATGAGTCAATTCTAAGCAGAATTGTAAGGCTCGTAATTTCTTTTCGTAAAATGTGTAAGAACTTATGATTGGTATTATAATTCTATGTATATGTACTGTACAGTCATTCGTAAATATCTACTATTCTAAATTTTCCGTAAATCTTACGGCTCTAACAAGAAGTTGTCTAAAAAAATATTGCGTAAAATTATAAACACTTTTAAATTCTTACATATCTTACGAGATATATGTCTTACGATTCTGCTTAGAATTAACCCGCAGATTCTATCTCTGTCGTCAGTTTGGAAAGAGTTAATGGAAAATATATTCTTAGTATTTATAAGATTCCTTTAAGACATTTATAGCGATATATATATATATATATTATAAACAAAAGAGAAATTTTAAAAATTTGATTTTGAGTTAACGAAATTTTTATTTGCTTTTTTATTAGTTTTTCACACGAAGTTTAGTAAACAAATTATGTATTAAAAACAACGGTTGTAAGATTAAAATTCTACACTTGCGCGTTAACGGAAAAAATATCTTATTTTTCAGTATGCAAGATTTCCTTAAGACATTTATAGCGATCTATTACACACAGACGCGAAATGATTTCGCTACAGCGTCGCCTCTCAAGCGAAAGTTTATAAGTTGCGATAAAAGCGAGGGAAAGTTTAGGAAAAAGCTTGATATTTCTTAGCGCCCGATAAGAGCCTTAAGGTCTCGCAACTTTTTCAAAGTTCACGAGCGGTTTAGAAACGATGCTGTTTATTATATTATTATATTTTTGTATTTTGCATTGCGAGCACTGCAGTCAAACTAGCTAGTAATAACGTTTCAGAGTACACGCAATTTGAAAAGAAACTATAAAGTTTAGAAGAATTCTAACATAATACAGGCGCAAGAGCTTTCATTATTTTTTAATTATTACGCGATATTTCTTAATAGATATATTAGATGTCTTTTAAAATAAAAATTGTTTCTGAAATGTTTATTAAACGGTAGCGACTTGTTTAACTTTGTTATGGGGACAGTGTACGATCGAGGAACGCTGAAACAACGTTAAGCAAAATTGACTTTTATGACCGGCTTTTCGACGATTTTATAATCTCGCAGCCGACTCGCGGAAAAACCTTTATAGAGTTATAGCGACCCAAATGATACTCCACGATACAAGAGTATCCGATCGATATCCTCGAGTAGTTTTTCGTGTTTATGACGCTATGATTTTTACCATTTGTTCGAGCTACTTATAAGAGTAAGATTCTTCTTTGTCAAAATA